GAGAATCGGGTGAACAAAGTGTGGACACAATCTCCGAGTCGATGAAGTGATGGCCACCGAAGACAACGACAGCCAAACGTGGGCTCAAGTGATAGAAGACTTGGATTTCAATCAAATGTTACGACAATTGAAAGCAATCAACACTTTGTGCCTAAAGTTACACTCATTTCAGTCTATTTTGAATTCAAATTATAGTGTTTTGAATGAAGCGATTGATTGTGAAAATGATGTGAATTTAGATATCAATCAAACTATTATTGATTGCAATTCATTGAAAATTAATGAAACTTTGCTTTTAAAGCACAAAACTATTAATAATAAGAAATTCCGCTGTTTTTGGCCTAAATGTGAATACAAGACGACTAATAAAAGAGATTTAAATAGACATCAATTAATTCATTCAAATATAAAACAATTTAAATGTGATTTTGATAATTGTAATAAAAGTTTTGCGCAAAAAATAAACTTATTTCAACACAAAAGTTGTGTTCATTTGAAAGAAAAGCGATTCAAATGTAATGAAGAAAATTGTGGCAAAAGTTTTGGCGTAAAATCACATCTAAATGAACACAAAGCCATTCATTCGGGAGAAAAACCATTTATTTGTGATTTCAAAGAATGTGGTAAAAGTTATAAACAAAAAGTCACTTTAATTCGACACAAAAGTTGTGTTCATTTGAATGAAAAGCGATTCAAATGTAATGAAGAAAATTGTGGCAAAAGTTTTGGCCAAAAAGTAGGCCTAATTCGACACAAATTCAAGCATTCGGGTGAAAAACCCTTTGGATGTGATTTCAATGATTGTGATAAACGTTTTACACGACAAACACTATTAAAAGCACACAAAAGTATTGTTCATTTAAAATGACTAAAAATAATTTAATTAAACATCAATTCATTCAGAGATTTAATAGTTTAAAAGCGATTTTAATAATTGTTACAAAAGTTTTAAGTGAAAAAATTGGGACACATTTGAAGAAAAAGTGATTTTAAATGTAAATATGTTTTATATCAAACATTTTGAATAGTATTTTAAATCTTATTAATTATTTGTATTATAAATATTTCGTACAATTTGTCATTTTTTAATGCAATTATTTATAATTCCTTTTGATTTATGTTTTCTATTTATGATTATTGAAAATTGTTTTTTAAATGTTTTGTACAATCATTTTCATTATAATCGCAATTATATTAAAATTTTGATCACAATATTTGTTTGTAATTACAATATTGATAACAATAACTCGAATTAAATAAATATAACAAAACAATAAACGGACAAAATTTTCAAAAATCAAGTTTTAAAAAATGTTTTGACAATACTTTTGCAAAATAGGGAATCAGTTATTGTTTGGTCTTTTTGTTGGTCTGACTGTTGTTTGGATTGAATTTAAAAGCAATGAAAGCGACAATAATTGTCGACAAAATCAGAATCAACACAAGTATTGCTAAAATATAAGTCAATGTTTTTGAAGGTTTTGTCTCATTTGAGGCGAATATACTTCCGGTAAAATCATAATCGTTTGGACCTCTCAGTGGACAATATGTGGTGAAGTAAGACCACAACGTTTTCTAATACAAGTAAAAAGACATTCAATTATAATAATTACAATACAATTGTTGTTTCATTCGGCGGACAAACCCTGAAATTATACATCGAATCGATTTCAATATATGGTTTGCGACCCCAGTCTAACATATTGAACAGATAGAGAGTATCGCTTATGTTATCGGTTGCCACCAAATAAGCGCCTTTTCTGTGCGTAATGTTGTCGTAATCAAAGTAAGCGCCGATGAATTTGTCAAACGGACACATATCCTGGTAGTAATAGTTGGCTGCTTTCGATATAGTGGTAGCGATGAATGGGAACAATACCTGCTTCGCATCGACATGCTGTGAGTGATCGTGGTGAACCACCATGGTCAGATTCTTGTCCGGGAACGTGGTGACAATTTGATACATCTCGATCCGTGCCAACTGCCAGGCGAACAATACCAGCTGATGGTCAAACAGGCCATCGTACCGGTGCGGGCCCAGTGAGAACAGTAATCGGGTGACGCCCGTACCGGACAAGTAGTCACTGGGTTTGACGACTGGCATCAATGTCTTCGTGTCTTTGTCTTTGTAGACATACATAAATAGCCCGTAAATGTATTTCCCGAGCGGTCGATACGCAAAACTACTCCTGCCGTGAATTGTCACATCATAATAGCCGTCACCCTTTAGCAATTCAATTGAATACCCGGTCACACGATGTCGAGTGTCTGAAACATTGAATTGATTATTGAAATAAAAATATGAATTTTATATATTTATAACATTTCGACTTTTAATAACAAGCCTTTCATTAACAACTCTATGGTATAAACTGTATTAAAGTTTCGTACATGTACATGTTTGGTATTGCATGGTATTGTCACACAGATGGGGGCGTAGAGTTGTTAATGAAAGGCTTGTTATTATAAGTCGAAATGTAATTTGATTACCGAAATAAGTGGCCAATAGTTCGGTCACATGTCTGTCAAAAATAAATTTCTTTCTCATTATATCGTAATAATAGAAATGAAGGCCTGTTTGATGGTATAGTGCGGGACCGATATTCAACACACTCTGATGTATATTATATGTGGGTTTCCTGAGGCAGAGCTGGCCCTCCAAGTAGTTACTGACCACTGAATATCTCATCATTTCTATGGGACACGTGACCACTGTTGACCACTCTATCTCATTGGTTTTGTCAAACTATTCAATTCAATAGTGATTTAAATGCAGTTTTGTTTTATGGAAATTGTTGTTCAAAATAAACAATAAAAATGATTAATAAATTATAAATACCCATAAAATGATCGGGTGTTTTGGGGAGTCCTAAATAAATGGCAATAAAAACATACAATATATTAAAAGCCATTTTGTGGCAACACTTTGGGGACAGACATACCGGCGGGGGTTTGCGTTTAAAGTCCTCGCTGTATAGATATCGGGTGTGCGGACGCCCGTAACCAACCAAACAGTAGGAAACATTTTTGTATCGGAACAGTGAGTGAACAATAAAGTTATCATGGTGCGCTGGGATATAGTACACCTTTCGGGTGACGTTGAGTTTCTGGTCAAATGTTTTATAATCCAAAGAATGGCCGTTTTTAATATAAAAATATTCAAAACTCATTGAATACACGGCAAAGTCGGTATCCTTTAGATGGCTGCCCACGCCCTTCAGTTTGGCTATGGTTTGGGCAATCGATATTTGGTTGCGTCCGCCGGTCTGATAGCCCGTAATATGTGTGACACCGAATCCGATGCGAATCACGTATTGCTCGTCGAACCGCACGTAATCGGCGATGGCTTTGCAGAACTGTCGGTGTCGGTCACCCTCTTTGATGATCGGCCGCTCCAGACCTCCCGGTGTGTGAATGTATGACTTAAAATACCCGTTATCTATGCTGAACACGGGTACGGCTGTCCCCATTCGGTTAACCGTGCCGTACAAACACACGCTGTGAAAGTACGGCGACTTTGAATACTTGTCCACACACTGAGAGTAATCGTCGTCGCGGGTAAAGTGTCCGCACGGAAACCGATCCATCGCTTTGTATGAAAAGCCAAACACTCGTTGACTCGTGTCTGTGAGGGATAGCATTGAAAACACAATTAATGAATACATTTGAAAATTCAATTGTCAATTGAAAACACAGACCAAAGCCTTCGGTCTCGAGGAATGGGCCGAAGTGTGAGTCGAAAACCAGATTTTGAATGTTTTGCGATTTGAGTGGAGAACCCGTCGGATACGAGTCGGAAGTGAATCCATAACTTTTTAATCGCCAAAAACTGGTGTTTCGCTGAAAGTATAGATCGTTTCCCAAACTCAATATATTATCGAAATTGTAGTTTTGTTCGCAAAAGTCAAACGGACTGAACGGCGCCCGGCGTTCGTCGCACCGCAAAAACAGGTCGTGAGTCATATCCTTAACACAAATTACAATTAAAAGTGCAAATAAAATATCGATTAAAAAATAACAACAAATAGCATCGCGAGTGAAAAATAACTTTTTACCATGTTTACAATGTAGCTGTCAGTACTGTAAGTACTGGTCTTATAGATTATGATTTCATATAACGGTGTTTTGAGTGTACAGAAGTGGCCACAACCCCATACCCTCCACGTGTCATTTGTATATTGTTTATTGTATTTGATAAGCGATACTATTTGGTGATTATCCCCTAAATCATAGTGAGCTCTAACGCCTTCCAAGTCTTCGCTCAGGTAATGGCTGTCGAGGAATGTATTGGTGTTCGCGTCTATGCGTCTAAATATAGCGATACTTCCGTTCGCGGGATGACTATCGCCGGTGTCCTCTTCGAGCATAACGGCCACCAATTGTCTCGACTCTCTTATATACTTCGGCGGAAACGTTTCACTTAGATATCGGACGCATTCGTTCGCAAAATAGGAGTAAAATCCACCCGAAGTGGGAATAATGGTGTAGTTATTGAAATCGTACAGAAAAACCACCGGTTTCTCAACTATTGGCACATAAATCACAATTTAAACAACCATTCATGACTCTCTCTCTCTCTCTCTCTCTCTCTCTCTCTCTATATTACGAAAAAATCATAAAAACATAACATTTCGACATAAAAACATTAGTTATAAAAGGGACAGTTGGACACTCTCTCTCTCTCTCTCTCTGTCTCTCTAATGAGTGTTAATAATGAATACCTGTGTCGGGTTTGTACGCGCAGACAATCTCGACCTTAGTTTTGTTGTTAAATATGTTGGTATAATAGCCACAAAGCACAGCAGTGTTAACATTCTTGCAAACCATTGTATACTTATCCCTATTGAACGCTTCGGGCAATACATGTGCCGTTATTTTATCGCTAAGAGCTTTGTTTGCAAACAACACACGGATTAAAAACACAAAAATTGCATTTAAATTAAAACAAACAAAAAAACTCACAGAAATTCTCAAATTTGTGGAGATATTGCTGTAAATACGAGTCGGACTTCATGTGGAGGTAATTATGATTGGGAATATGGGTTGGATGATCAGGGTCTACTTGAGAGGACTCCCAACGGACCAGTTCGGTGTTCAACTCACTGCTACTTTGCATTTGATAAAACAGTGTATTCTTAAGCCTAAAAACACTGACAACGTATCGGTAGTAACAGGCGGTCGAGTTTTCAAACTCTTTGGGTGTCAATTGTTTGCACCACAACTGATCCATATATAGGATGTTTGCCATAAACAGGATTTTTATGATAATTGAAATCATGTTTGCGATCAAAAGTGTAGAATTTGTGTCAGTTTTGTGTTTTTGAATGATTTTTAACAGTTTTGTAATGCATTTGTAATTGTTTTATACGCGCGACCGGCGCCTCGTTTTATAAGTATTTTAACAATGAATTAATTTAAACGATAATAAATACAGTTTATTAGAAGACAATAACAATATATAATAATAGCGATCAGATTTTAATTGTTGGCATTTTTCCAAATTTAAACACATTTTAGTTTTGCAAACTTTTCAATGCGTTTGAATACAAAGTATTGAATGAAAGACTGAATGCATTGAAAGGCATGTGAAGTGAAAGTCAGTCAATCAATGCCCACATCTTTACTGAAAACAACAAATTGTTGCAAAATTAGACAAACATTCATATAATACGTGACGAGATTTGAGTGAATGATGTGAAGGGGGAGGGCTTTGGTGTAAATGTTGTATAAATGGATTACAATTGAATACAACTTTAGGGGTCATAGAAATGCATTATTAAGTGTAATAGACTTTTAGATTAATATTGAATTATCAATAGTAGTAAACAAATGCCAATCAATTGTTTAGATTTTAAATGATATGTAATTTGTCTTTAGTTTCAAATGTAAATTCAGTTGTGATTAAAATTATTGTCAGTTTTGTTGTAATTATTAATCGTTTGTCTGTTTTGTAAATTACAAAACATTTTCACTGATTTGTGTTTAAGTTAACTGTGGTTTAGATGTGAAGTGACGGACAGTTTCGGGGAATCAATACTTGAATGAGTGGTGAAGTGGTCTCAGAAAGTGTGGACACAATCTCCGAGTCGATGAAGTGATGGCCACCGAAGACAACGACAGCCAAACGTGGGCTCAAGTGATNGTGACGGACAGTTTCGGGGAATCAATACTTGAATGAGTGGTGAAGTGGTCTCAGAAAGTGTGGACACAATCGACGAGTCGATGAAGTGATGGCCACCGAAGACAACGACAGCCAAACGTGGGCTCAAGTGATAGAAGACTTGGATTTCAATCAAATGATGAATAAATTCAATGAAATGAAGGTTTTCTGCGAAACGATAGACAAAATGCAATGTATTTTGAATACTAATTATAATGTTTTGTGTGAAAACTATCAATCATTAAATAAAACTATTATTGATTGCAAACCATTCAAAATCAGTGTTAATTTGATGGCAATTAACAAAACAATTAATAAAAATAATGATAAGTTTCGGTGTCTTTGGACTGATTGTCACTTCAAGTCTCAGTTCAAAAGTGATTTAACTTCACATCAATTAATTCATACAAATATAAAACCATTTAAATGTGATTTCAATGATTGTATTAAAAGTTATAAACAAAAATCACAATTAATTGAACACAAAAATGCGGTCCATTTGAACAAAAGATTTGTTTGTGATTTCAAAGATTGCAACAAAAGTTTTACAACAAAACAAAATTTATTTCAACACAAAAGTTGTGTTCATTTGAATGAAATGCGATTCAAATGTGATGAACAAAATTGTGACAAATATTTTGGTAACAAATCAGATCTAATTCGTCACAAATGCATTCATTCGGGAGAAAAACCATTTAAATGTGATTTTAATGATTGCATCAAATGTTTTGCACAAAAATCACAATTAATTCAACACAAAAATAATATTGATTTGAATTTGAAATTTATTTGTGATTTTAATAATTGTAACAAAAGGTTTACAACAAAAGGAAATTTATTTCAACACAAAAGTTGTGTTCATTTGAATGAAAAAGTATTCAAATGTAATGAAAAAAATTGTGGCAAAAGTTTCACTCAAAAGTCATCTTTAAAACTACACAAACGCATTCATTCGGGAGAAAACCCGTTTGTTTGTGATGTCAATGAATGCCGAAAGAGTTTTACACAAAAAGCAAATTTATTTCGGCATAAAATTAATCATCATTTAAATGAAAAGTAATTATAAATATTGAATAAAGTTTTTATAAATATTACATAATATCAATACAATTGGGCAGAAAAACTATTTAAATGTTATTTCAATGAATGAAGTGTTTCCTAAAAATTCAGACCTTGTCTTAATGTCTTAACACTTATATCTCTTTCCCTAATCCTATTCCTAACTCTCACTAAACATTGATTTAATTGTAATTTTTCATTGATTTTGTTTATTATTTTGTTTCCAAATGTTTTTTAATAGCAAAACTTATTGTAATTTTAATTGATTAAAAACAAGTATTAAAAACAAATATATCGTATCATCAAAAATAAGATTAATATTTTTATTATAAATTAAACACAATTACAATTTTTAATTAGTATTTAGTTTCTAGAGTCCGATCATGTATTGAATGGCAAACAAAACCATTTGACAAATTGTTAGAACCACTGCCCGCACAGTCAGTATTGGCTGTGGTTTCATTTCTTTCTCTTTATGTCCTTAAAATTCAAATCAATTACCAATTGAATCAAAATTTCTAACTAGTGTTTAATTTATATTATATCGTACATTAATATTTAAAATTGCGGTAAAATATATAAGCAATACAATTGTGAGCTTACAATACTTTAATTGTTTTAAATGCAAAACAATTATTTTTAAATCATCACAATATTGATAAAAAATAATCTCTAAAAGTATTTCTAATACTATAATGCGATGAAATAAAATATGCAATTTTAAAATAATGAAATTACAATTTAGATAACAATAACTCGAATTAAATAAATATAACAAAAAACAGATAAAAATAGTGTTTCGAAAAATGTTTTGACAATAGTTTTGCAAAAATAGGCAATCAGTTATTGTTTGGTCTTTTTATTGGACTGACTGTTGTTTGGATTAAATTTAAAGGCAATGAAAGCGACAATAATTGTCGACACAATCAGAATCAACACAAGTATTGCCAAAATATAAGTCAATGTTTTTGAAGGTTTTGTCTCATTTGAGGCGAATATACTTCCGGTAAAATCATAATCGTTTGGACCTCTCAGTGGACAATATGTGGTAAAGTAAGACCATAACGATTTCTGGTATAAGTAAATAAGTTTTAAAAAAAATATAATTATAATAATTACAATACAATTGTTGTTTCAAAAGGCGGACAAACCTTGAAATTATACATCGAATCGATTTCGACATATGGTTTGCGCTTCCAGTCTAACATATCGAACAGATAGAGAGTATCGCTTTTGTTATCGGTTGCCACTAAATAAGCGCCTCTTTGTTTGGTAACGTTATCGTAATCAAAGTAAGCGCCGATGAATTTGTCAAACGGGCACATGTCCTGGTAGTACCAATTCGCTGCTTTCGATATAGTAGAAGCGATGAATGGGAACAATACCTGCTTCGCATCGACCCACTGTGCGTGGTCGTGGTGTACCACCATGGTCACATTGTGGTCATTCTTGTCCAGAAACGTGTTGACAATTTGATACATCTCGATCCGTGCCAACTGCCAGGCGAACAATACCAGCTGATGGTCAAACAGGCCGTCGTACCGGTGCGGGCCGAGTGAGAACAGTAATCGGGTGACAGCTGTACCGGACAAGTAGTCACTGGGTTTGACGACTGGCATCAATGTCTTCGTGTCTTTGTCTTTGTAGACATACATAAATAGTCCGTAAATGTATTCGCCTAACGGTCGATACGCGTAACTACTCCTGCCGTGAATTATCACATGATAAAAGCCCAGAGCTGTTGGCCATTCGATTGAATGCCCGGTCACACGATGTCGAGTGTCTTTCAATTGAATTGATTTTTAATATTAATTTATTGTTAATTCTATATATATTTTGTAATTTATAGATAGATTACCGAAATAAGTGGTCAATAGTTCGGTCACATGTCTGTCAAAAATAAATTTCTTTCTCATTATATCGTAATAATAGAAATGAAGGCCTGTTTGATGGTATAGTGCGGGACCAATATTGAACACACTCTGATGTATATTATATGTGGGTTTCTCGTGGCAGAGCTGGCCCTCCCGGTAGTTACTGACCACTGAATATCTCATCACTTCTATGGGACACGTGACCACTGTTGACCACTTTATCTGATTGGTTGCGTTAAACTATTCAATTCAATAGTGATTTAAATGCAGTTTTGTTTTATGAAAATTGTTGTTCAAAATAAACATTAAAAATGATTTATATTATACCATTAAAATGATCGAGTATTTTGGGGAGTCCTAAATATATGGCAATAAAAGCATACAATATATTAAAAGCCATTTTGTGGCAACACTTTGGGGACAGACATACCGGCGGGGGTTTGCGTTGAAAGTCCTCGACGTATAGATATCGGGTGTGCGGACGCCCGTTGCCAACAAAACAGTAGGAAACATGTTTGTATCGGAAGAGTGAGTGCACTGTAAAGTTATCATGGTGGGCTGGTATGTAGTACAACTTTCGGGTGGCGTTGAGCATCCGGTCAAATGTTTGATAATCCAATGAATAGCGGTAATGGATGTGGAAATACTCAAAACTCATTGAATACACGGCAAAGAAGGTATCCATTAGATGGGTGTTCGGCGCGCCCTTGAATTCGGCTAAGGTTTGGGCGATCAATATCTGGTTGCGTCCGCCGGACTGATAGCCGGTGATATGTGTGACACCGAATCCGGTGCCGTTGTATTTCTCTTTGAACCGCACGTAACTGGAGATGACTCGGCAGAACTGCTTGTGTCGGTCACCCTCTTTGATGATCGGTCGCTCCAGACCTCCCGGTGTGTGAATGTATGACTTGTAATACCCGTTCTCTTTGCCAAACATGGGTACGGCTCTCCCCTTCCAACCAACTGTGCCGTACAAACACACGCTGTGAAAGTACGGCGACTTTGTATACTTGTCCACACAATAGGCGTACTCTTGTTCGTTGATTAAGTGTCCGCACGGGAACCGATCGATCGCTTTGTATGAGAAGCCAAACACCCGTTGACTCGTGTCTGTGAGGGAGTGTAGGATATCATTAAAGACACAATTAATGAATGCGTTTTGAAATTTCAATTGTCTATTGAAAACACAGACCAAATCCTTCGGTCTCGAGGAATGTGCCGAAGTCTGAGTCGAAAACCAGATTTTGAATGTTTTGCCCATTGAGTGGAGAACCCGTCGGATACGAGTCGGCAGTGAATCCATAATCTTTTAATCGCCAAAAACTAGTGCTTCGCTGAAAGTATAGATCGGATCCCAAACTCAATATATTATCGAAATCGTAGTTTTGGTCGCAAAAGTCAAACGGAGTGAACGGCGCCCGGCGTTCGTCGCACCGCAGAAACAGGTCGTGAGTCATATCCTTAAAACAAATAGAAATTAAAATGTGAATAAAATACTGTTTTAAAAAAACAACAACAAATAGCATCGCGAGTGTAAAATAACTTTTTACCGTGTTTTCAATATAGAACTCATATTTCACGATAGCACTGATGGCAGTGATATTGATCGTATCGATTATGATTTCATATAACGGTGTTTTGAGTGTACAGAAGTGGCCGCAGCCCCACACTCTCCACGTGTCGTTCATATAGTGTTTGTTGTATTTGATAAGCGATACGATGTCGTGATTATTCCCTAAATCATAGTGAGCTTTAACGCCGTCACAGTCTTCGCTCAGGTAATGGCTGTCGAGGAATGTATTGGTGTTCGCGTCTATGCGTCTAAATATAGCGATACTTCCGTTCGCGGTTTGAAGACTATCGCCGGTGTCCTCCAGCATAACGGCCACCAATTGTCTCGACTCTCGCGTATACTTCGGCGGAAACGTTACGTTTAGATATCGGACGCATTCGTCCGTAAAATAGAAGTCAAAACCGCCCGAAATGCGAGTAATCGTGTAGTTATTGAAATTGATCAGAAAAGCCACCGGTTTCTCAACTATTGGCACACAATTCATAATTTAAACAACAATTTAAATCTCTCTCTCTCTCTCTCTCTCTC